CTCAGGCCAATTGTACTTAAATGTAAATAGTTTTACTGATTAAATAGTATTACTCATATAATATTGAAGGTTACAAAAAATGTAACTAAAATAGAAACATGATACTGAAAAAAATTATTTCATCAGTATCTACATTTTGCAATTTGTTAGATTTAAGAGAATTTCCACAACATTTTGTTAGTTAAAAAATACTAGACTGATATTTTGAGTTAATAAATGGATACTCATTGGATATCTATATAATTTAAAGTAAAATATAATACCACAACATTGACTACTAATCACTGTTTTATGTTTACATAATGTTGTTTCTCATTTTTATATGCTATAGAGAAGTAATCTGTGAGTCGTGTTAGTGAGTCCACTCTTCTCTTTAAAAGGAATGATATGGGCATGACAGAAAGAAAATCACAAGTTAGAGCTCAGCTTGAACAATATAGCAAGTCCCTGTCTTAAAAGAAAAAGAAAATTAAAAGGGGATGGGAATTTAGCTCAGTTCAATGTTCTGGGTTTAACACCCCGTGGAGATAGATAGTCATATATTTGTGCATAAATGTGCTCATGAGCTCTGCTCTTAGGCATGTTGGTGACTGATGGTTCTCAATTACATCCCTCAAACTTTCTCTTTGAAGTAGAAATTATTCTGGTTAAAGTTATAATTAAAAAAGGAGTTGAAATTATATTATGAGCAATAGTGACAAATGGATATGTGCTCCTATTTTAAAAAGAAAAAACAGTTTGTTCCTACAGCAATCATTCTCAAACTTTCTGTTCTCAGGACCTCTTTGCATGCTGAAAACATTACTGAGGTTTTCAGAGGTATGTTGTAACTATCAATCTTTAACACATTAGAAATTGAAGCAAAATTTCAATGTATTTACTGACTGAATTGCTTTCAGATGAATTTATTGCACATTGTGTCAGTTTTAAGAAAATAATTACACGATTAGGGTGTAGCTCAGTGGTAGAGCAAGTGCTTAGCATGTGTGAAGCCCTGGGTTTAACTTCCAGCACCACAATAAAAACTATAATTTAAAAATTAATGAGAAGACTGTTTCACATTTTTGCAAAGCTCCTGAATGCCTGACTTCATAGAAATAGCTAGATTCTCCCATCTGCTTCTACACTCATTCTATTATAATATCACACATAATGTAAACTTTGGAAAGCTCCATGTTTAGTATTATGATGAAGATAGTCTTCACTTGGCAGATCCAATGAATACAAAAGGGCAAAATAAAGCACAAATTTGAAGAATGAATTTCACCCTACCTTAAGCCTTGATACGGAAATAAACCAATATAATGTGTTAAATTGTAGCAAAGTTTTCTCACTTTCAATGGGCTTGCTTCCTTAGTTTATGGATTACTGCAGTCACCATAACACAAAAGGTATTCTTTTGCCTTCTATGTATTCTGCCTAGGTAAAAAATTCTGTGTTTTAGCAGAATAACTTTGTGAACTTTAGGTTGTCCTTTTATTTCTTTATTCTAGATTGGTTAGCGGCGAACAAAGGACAAAAAGTTCCTCACTTATCCAAGAGCCCAGAGTCCTTTAGAACAGCTTTAGCAAATGCTTATTTGTAGATATTTGATTGTGGTTTGTTCAGATGGGTAACCAGGTATCATTTCTCAGGCTTCTGTGTTCCTGTCTTACTCAGGCAGCCTATCAAAACGACTAGATTGACAAAAGAGTGATATCTAAAATACACAAAGAAATGAAAAAATCATCCCCCCCAATTTAAAGATCAAATCCAAAAATGGGTATCTGAGAATAACAGATTTCTCTGGTGAAGTACAAAGGGCAAATAAACATATGAAAAAAATGTTCAACATCACTGGTCATTTGAGAAATGCAGATTAAAATACAACTGAGATTCCATCTCACTCCAGGGTATTATAAAATAATCAACCAATAACAAATGATGGAGAGGCTGTGTGGAAAAAGGAATGCTTCTCCACTGTTGGTGGGACTGCAGACTGGTACAACCACTGTGGAAATTAGTATGGAGAATCCTCAAAAAAGCTAGGACTAGAGGTTTCATTTGACCCACATATTCCCCTTCTTAGTATCTTCACAAAAGAATTAAAAGCATCATACCACAGCAAATATGCCCACCCGTGGTTATAGCAGCACAGGTTGTAATAGCTAAATCTTGGAAACAGCCCAAGTCCCCATAAATTGATGAATGGATAAAGAAGATGTAGCTTTTTATACAATGGAGTATTACTTTGCCATAAAGAAGGATAAACTTGAGACATTTCTAGGTAAATGGATACATGTAGAGTCCATTCACTTAAGTAAAATAATTGGACTCACATGTGTACATATCACATTTTTTTTCACTGGTGTGAGAAACTCAAAGTGTAAATAAGGTCCAGAATTGGTATTGTGAAATATATTTAATATATTTAATATATATTTAATATATAAAAATATAATACGAAATATTGTGAAAAGTATTGTGAAATAGAAAGAAAACATTTAAATGAAAAGGAGCACAGAGGAGGGGGCAGGGGGAAAGGAGGAATGGGAAAAGAAAGAAACAATAGATGAAAGATGAAGTGGAAACAAAGATTTTGTATATAAGGGGCTGAGGGGTGGAAGGGAGAGGAGTGGTTTGGGAAAAAAATAAAAGCAAGATATATCATGTACAATTACAAATTCCCTATGGTGAATGTGATCATTATGCATATCTAAATTGTACCAATAAACTTTATAAAAACACCAAAAAGGGAATATTCATTACCATTTATTCTTTATATAAATAAGGATAATAAGAGATTATGCTAACATATTAGAAAATCCAAAGAAATAATAAATTCCTAGAAACACACAAATTGTTAAAGTAACTTATGAAAAAATAGAAAAATCTCAACATGACTATATGTACAAGTAAAGAGATTGAATCAGTAATCCAAACTATCCTGAAAACAAAGTCTAGGACCAGATGATTTCACTGGCGAATTCTATCACACACTTAAAGAAGAACATACCTGAATCCTTTTCAAATACTTCGAAAAAATTAAAGAGGAGGGAACATGTTCTAATTTATTATATGAAGCCAGCATTACCTGGTATCAAAGAGAAATTAAGATATGAAAACCAAAGAGAATCACAAACCAATATACTTTATGAACATTTGTTTTAGAAGTCCACAACAAATTCTAGTAAATTAAATCCTATAGCATATGAAAGGTTTATACACTATAAGTTGTGATTTATTTGAAGAATCCAAGGATAGTTCAACATAAACAAATCAATACAACATACCATACTAATAAAGAAAAAAACATGATCACTTCTATTAATGCAGAAACATCATTTGATACAATCCAAGACATTTTTATGATAAAAACATCATGAAAATTCATAATAAATGGGAATATCCTCAACCTGATACTTGGGATTTAAAAAATAATTAACATTATACTCAGTGGTGAAAGATTGAAAGTTTTTTTCTCTAAAATCAGGAATAAGACAGAGGTGCCCCCATTCAGCACCACTATTCAATATTGTGCTAGAAGTTCTATCCTGAGAAATTAGGCAAGAAATAAAAGTAAAAGGCATTCAAATTAGAAAGAAGTGAAACTATGGCTCTCCACAGATGACATGATCCCGTATATAGAAAATCCTACAGAAACCATAAAGTTATCAGGTGTTGTTATTATTATTTTTGAATATTCTCTAGTTTAGGATTTAAAAATGTCCATCCAAAAGGGTTTGTTTCTGATTTTATTATTAACTTCTAATTTTTGCTTTGGAATCAGGTACTACTGTCATTTGTTTGTCTGCTTTGGATTTTATTCAGATTTTTCTTTGCATAAATTCTGTAAATGTTCAAATGGAACACAAAAAAGTATTTTCTGTTCTCAGGATACAAAATATATTTTCATGAGATATAGTAGGTATATTATTTAGGTCTTCTCTATAATTTTTTTTGTTTATTCATTGAATTAGTTGTCATAGATTGGGAGAGGCAAATTAAATCTTATGTGTTTATGTTTTCCATATATCTTCTATACTTTGACATTAAAATCTGTCAAAGTCATCATATAAGCCCAAAAAGAAAAAACAGACCAACAATTTCTAAATATTAAAATGTTTCAATATTTAAAATATAACTCATTAACATATCAAAAAACAACATACCATGACCAAATAGGGTTTTTTCTGGGAATGCAATGATGATTTAATCTTAGGAAATCTATTAATACAATTTAATATTTTCATAGCTTAAAAGAGAAAATTCATGGGCCTGGGGATTTAGCTCAGTGGCACAGTGCCTGCCTGGCAAGTGCAAGGTCGTGAGTTTGAATCCTGGTACCGGAAGAAAAACAAAAACAAAAACAAAAAGAGAAAAATCATGATGGTCACCATAAAGTCAGAAAAGACATGTACTTCATCCAATTCATTATCCACTGATTTAAAAGAATTCTAAAGAACAACAGGTAAGCACACTATAAAAATGTATATCTAAACCTAAAAGCCAATACTATCTTTAATGAGGAAACAGTAGCAAGCTTGTACATAACTTCAAAAGGTTACTATAGTTTTGATAATTTCATGACAAAATATTGTGACTTTTGCTTTCTTTTTCAGTACCAGGGATTGAACCCAGAGACTTACACATGCTAGGCCAGCACTCTGCCACAAAGCTACATTCCCCAATGTGATATTTTGATTTTGGTTGAGAAGACTCGGTAGCCTACATTTAGTCAGTGGTGAACTTTGACTAGGTCTTAAATCTAGTGACCTGAGAACAATTATGTCACACTGAACAATAAACATAGTTTCATACAAAGCGAAGTATAGAATACTCTTACCCCAAGCAGTATGTGAAGGAGTGAAAACACTAACATTTAGAGTGGAAAAATTCGTTCTTCAAGAATCCTTTCACTGGTTATCAAGTACTGCACAAATTTCTGGTGACAAAAGATTCGATTAAGATTCTAATCTCTCTTCATAACTGTGTTACAAAACTCCCAGTTCCCAGATTACCTGTTTGCTTCAGGAGATTGCAGATGTCTTTACATTCCTGGATCTGCTCAAGTGCACAATTCGGTAACCTGGCCTATTTGGCAACAACACAACAAGGTGATTAGTCTCAAAAAAGAACTTTAAAATTGATAAAATCCCACATAATTATCATTAAAAACAGGTAAAGACAGAATGATAGGACAAGTTTGAACTGAACACTTTTGAATTGATACAGATATATTAACCTCCAAATGCACGTCTACCATGCCAATTCTTATGTACACATTTGAAATGAAAACATTTCCATAGAAAAACTTGTACATGTGTTTATCATACCGCTATTAAAAATAGCTGAAAATTGGAAACAACCCAAGTACTCATCAGTGGATGAATAGATGAATAAAATGTGACATATCCACGGGATGGAATGCTATTCGGCCATTTAAAAAGGTACGAAATGCTGACTGATATATGCTATAACATGGAGAACTTTGAAAACATTATTTTAGAATTTATAAAAGGAGCCAATTAAAAAAGATTACAAATTATATAACGACAGTTACATAAAATACCTGGAATAGGAAAAACTATACTAACAGAACATAGATCAGGCGTTGCCTAGGCCTGGTGGCATGGATGAAGAGTAACTGCTGATGAAGAGTAACGAGTTATTTTTATTTATTTATTTTTGTCTTTTTGATACAGGGTCTCGCGATGCAGTTCAGGCTGGCCTTGAGCTCACTTTGTAGCCTAGGCTGGTCTCAAACTTTCAATGATCCTCCTGCCTCAGCCTCCCTAGTGCTGGGATTACAGGCGTGTGCCACCACACCTGGCTAACGAGTTATTTTTAGAGAGATAAAAAATATTCTAAAATTAGATTGTGCTGATAGCTGTACAACTCTGAATATTCTAAAAAACATTACAGTGCACATGCAAGTGGGTGAATTTGGGCCAGGGGCGTGGCTCAGAAGTAGCACATGTGCTTAGCATGCGCAGAGCCCTGGGTTCAATCTCCAGCACTGCCAAAACAACCAAAAAATTAGTGAATTATAAAGTACATGAACTATACCTCAATAATCCTGTTCCAAAATAAGCTAACTGTGTGCGTTCTTCTACTCAGGAGGCTGAGGCAGAAGAATGGTAAATTCAAGGTTAGCATGAGCAACTTAGCAAGACCCTGACAAACCTCAGAAAAGGTTGGGAATGTAGCTCAGGGCAAGGGCTTGGGTTTAACCCTCAGTACCACACACACACACACACACACACACACACACACACGACGCACAAATCTAGTGTGATGGTCAGGACACTTTCTCTGTGACAAATCAGACAATAAATATTTTAGGCTTTGCCAGCCATACACACTCACTTTCACATATTTTTATTTTCATTTACAACATTTTACAAATATTAAATCAAATTTTAGCTCTCAGGATATACAAAAACAGACCATGAGTCTGATGTGGCCAGTTTCCAGTAGTTTACTCAGCTGTTCTACGGAAAAATGTGATTCCTTAACAAATCACAATAATTTCCTCCCAATTCCTACTCCGTAGAGTAGCGACAGTATTTGGTAGCACTATGCAGTTTATCTATACTCTCTCATCTGTTATTTGTAAATTCTTCAATTTCTGAGAGTTTAGACAGCAGGGTATAGATGTACATAACAGAATTCAACAAATATTCTTTAGAGGGATAGATTTCCACAGTCTAATTCACAGAGACCACTCTTACAGGATGAAAAGCAGAAACAAGTGCATCTTCCATTACCTGGATACCCTTTCAAAAGCAAAGATTACAGAAGGGTTATTAGGTAAGAGAGTTCTTCGGAAACAGAGGACTGTGCTTGACAGTTTGTGAAACTTCTCTAACACCAATTGAGCTCCATTCACTGAAAAACACAGTTCAACAAACTTAGGACTCTGAACTGAAAAGGAATAACTTTAAAAGTTATAAGTACAATATAAGGATATTATTACTATATTTTAGTAAAGAAAAAAATGCCTATTGAGAACTAAATCACCTGTATCTTTATCTGTTTATTTATTTATTTATTTTTTATTTTTTTTTTTTTTGGTTTTTCTCCGGTACCAGGAACCGAACTCACGACCTTGTGCTTGCCAGGCAGGCGCTTTGCCGCTGAGCTAAATCCCCAGCCCTCTTTATCTGTTAATGTGTTGTATTTATATTACTAGCTTTTCTTAGTTTATTGAAGGGAACGTTTTGTGTTTTTATCTGGTTATGTCTTTTTTGTAAGAGAGTCCTTTTTGTGTATGACTTGTATTCTGAGTAACTTTGTACATTCTTTTAAGATTATGATACACAGTATATTAAACTACCTTTATTTTCTTTGTTATGAGGATTTGTTTCACTTTGTCATAGGAGTACTTTAAAATATTTCTTTATTAATATCTACTTCTACTACATTAAAATTTTGAAAAGAAGCACAAATGATTTCTTTGTTTTCTTTTGTTCTGGGGCAGGTAGATTCTTTTCTCATTTTTTTTAATGAAAAGACTTCTTGAAAGGGATCCTGTTACAAAACCATGAGAACAAGGGCTTTGTATACTTTATCTCTATGCCCCCATACCTAGAAGATTGATTGGTGCTCAAATGTTTTCTGGGTTGAGCTCAACAAGGGAAAGGGAAGGAAGGGGAATACTGGCAGAGAGCCGGTAAGAGTTTATTTTCAATCTAAAAATAATATGAACGAAAAGATTAATAGGAAGATAAAGAGCAAAATGGGTTTTATACCAGTTGGAGAGACAAGAAGCTGACAAGTATGGAAAACCAGAAAGTTTTCTTGGTCCAGATAAGAGAAAATGAGCAGAGAGAGGATTTAAATCTTTAAAATCATAAAAAACTAGTGGTCTGACTTGGAGACAATTTTCTTAGCTTGAAAGAAGAAAGCAAAGAGTTGAAGACAAATAATCTGGTGTATGATGTAAGGCGATGCTGGTAGCTCCTAAAAGAGGTACATTTTAAGAACCTAAGAATGGAATTAAGGTAAAGGTATGGAATTCCATGTTCTTGTTAAAATTGAGTGGATGAGATATATAAGGACATAAGACAAAAATAGCAAGTGCAAGTGAGTGAAGAAAAACAAGCTAAGTAAAAAATTTCAGATGGCTAAAAGTTCCAGAAATAAAATTTTCCATAGAAAATGTGTGAAAGGAACAAAAGTAGGGAAAACATTTCTACCAGCCGCATATAATCATAAGGAGATAATGGAAATAATGAATATTTAAAGGTAGACTAAGAAAGAACGGTCCATGGGAATGGGCATTTAAAAAAAGTGACGTTCAATCTTTTTAAGGGAAGAGGCTCACCCAAATGGAACCTTTGCGTAGGAAGGAATTGGCCACTACAAACCCTTGAAATCCAGCCGGTGATGGAATGAGGGAAAGATTCTCTAAAGAAAATAAAACACAACTGTATCAGGGAGCACAAACATACTAACTACAGTAAGTAACTTACAAACATTTGAGTTGCGAACTTTCACAGACATGAACCTTGCATTGTGTGGTAAATGCAAACACATGGCAGAAGTAGCTCATCCACCTTCCTTACCATTTTAAGGTAATTGTAAAATGAGTTTATTTGCAGTTGCACTGTACTGTACCACCACTTTAAGGTAAGTATAAAAGTAAAAATAATTTACTCGCAGTATTTGTGTGTGTGTGTGTTTGGTTTTTTTATGCTTTACATTGTATATTTGTGTGAAAGGTGTACATAAGACTCACTTCGTTGGGCTCACAAAATAATCCAATTTATGAACATTCTCCTGGAACACTCGTTTACAAGTCAGGGACTTACTGTAGCACACTTAATTTTTATCTGGCTTTAGATGTTTGCATTTTACCTGTTCAAAAGTGGTTGAAGCTTTTCTCCCTTGCCCTAGGTCAACTGCAGCTGCCATAAGTAAACATGCTTTCTGTGCAATCAGAATTACTTGGTCAGAATAACAAAACTGGCACAGCTAATACAAAGTAACCAGAACATCACTGGATAGTGAGAAGTCTGCCAGGTGAACATAGTCAGAATGAAAATCAGCAATATTCTGTCTGAATGAGCAAAACACTGCTAGGAAAGCACATGCCACCATAGAAATTATATGGACCTCAACACTGCTTTACAGTTTAATTTGTTATTATTTTCCATTCTTTTTACCACTTCTTCACCGTTTTCCTATTTTTTTCTAGTTACATGCAGTCATTTATCCCTGCATTTCTATCTAGTGATTTTCTTCTTCTTGTATGCTATCATTTCTAAGTGATTTTCCCTCTGGCAAACAGATTTCTCTTTTATATTGAATAGAGCCAAAATTAGTACATACAGCATCACCTTTGAAAGACACAGTGTCAGATCTTGACAGGCAGTAGTCATAGCTTCATCGTTAAACCTTGCCCTCTAGTTTTAGAAAACACTTTCAGTTTCACACTGCCACAAACTCTAGTCCAGTTATATTCTTATATGCCAATCCTACAAGAGCGATCACAAATTCAAAATGCAAACAGATTTATTTCACCTAAATAAAATGGCAATTATAATTAAATTTGCAAAGGTTATTTCTTAATCTCCCCCCATATTTAATGATCACAACCATTACTATCACTGAATTAATAACACTGCAAAATAATTAATCTTTTTTGCTGTCCGGTTACTGTTATGTAAAATGAGGGAGTTATGCTAGATTAACTTTCCAGTTCTTTTCAGATCTACAATTCTAAACATTTCATTGACCTAAACCTATCACACTGTGTACTTCTGTGTATATGAAGGATATTCTTCTACCTTGGAGGCTAAATAATTATTTTTAAATTCTTATAAGTGAATAACAAACTCACAAATCCTTACACATGGACCCTGTATTAGGAAAAGTTATAAAGGAGACCCAAGCTTCTTATTTCCTTTTTCAGATCTTATGGTTACCCGATACTTATTCCATCTAAACTCAGGACCTTGTGCACGGTAGGCAAGCACTCTAGTGCTCAGCTAATCCCCAGCCCTTTTCATTTTTCCTTTTTTGAGACAGAGTCTTGCTAAGTTGCACAGGCTGGCCTTGAACTTGCAGTTCTACTTCAGTCTCCCAAGCAGTTGGGATTGCAGGCATGCACTACACCACTCTACAGCATTGATGGGTCCTTAGGCCACTTTATTCTGTATTCTCATAGATTTTTTCCTTAATTTCTCCTACACTGTTAGTAACTGACAGTTTGTTAGAGTACTCCCCTCTAAAAGATATTTTAATATAGGGCTCTGGGAGAATGAAATCCCTTCAAAAGCAATCATCCTATAATAGTTAAACTTTAGGCTCTGTGATGTGTGTTTGCGATGTTTTACCCTAAGAAGATATGTCACACATTCCTTTCTGATATGTTGGTGATACATAATAATTACTTTAATGGTGGGGAATTGGTACATATATGTATTGCATCTTAATCATTTCTACTTCCCTTTCTCCTCCCCACCATTCTGTCTCCTCCATCCCCATATCCCCTTCACTTCTCCACAAAGCCTACCTCCTTGTTTCCTATCATCTTTTATTGTACTTTTTACATTACTATAAATAAATAAATTGTGGGTTTCTCACATAAGAGGAACCATCTAATATTTAACCTTCTGTGTCTGATTTATTTTACTCAGAATTATGACCTGAACATGCATCTGTTTTCCTACAAATGACTAAAATTTACCCTTCTTTAAGGCTCAGTAGTTCACCACTGTGTCTATATACCATATTTTCTCTAACCACTGATCTATAGCATTAATGGGTCCTTAGGCCACTTCCAGCTTTTAGCTATGATGACTGTGTGGCTATAAACATGGGTATGCATATATCACTGTAATATAATGTCTTTAGCTCTTTTGGGAAATACTCAGAAGAGGTATAACAGGGTCAAATGAAACTTCTATTTTTAATTATTGAGGAATCTTCATATTAATTTTCATAGTGGTTGTATTAGCTTACATTCACACCAACATTGTAGAAGGGTTCCTCTCCTGTACAACCTTGCTGGCATTTGTTTTCTGAATTCCTGATGATAGCCATTCTTACTGGGGTAACATGGAATTGCTTTGTGTTTCTCTAATCTGCTGCACAGGTTGACATTATATCCTAAGTAGTATTTTTTTTTTTTTTTTTTGTACCAGGAACCAAACTCGAGACCTTTCTCTTGTGCAGCTGAGCTATATCCCTGGCTGACATTACATTCTACAGGGATAGACTCTCCTTAGGTTATCTCTGCTCAGACACATATTAAATGTTTCTAGATTAAAAGATTGGCTTATATACTTGTACTTATTATATTTATGCACTTAGCACATTACTCTAGCCATTGTCGTCATATTCTCGTTGTGGTCTATAAATGAAATATTGATTGGAAGAGACTAACCTTATAAGAAAGCATGAAAAATTCTCTCATTATCGCTGGGTCTTTGTCACACTGCACAGCCAAGTTCCAAGCTGAAACTGATGTGAAATAAAAGGATTCTAAAAGTCTGTTTAATCTGTATGACTATAATCTCTGCTGTCTACATCTTTACTATTAATGTACCAAAATGTATTCCTCAGAGATTAAGAAATTAGCTTTAGTTATATAGAAAAAGGTTTTGCAAGTAAATTTAGGGACTCCTATTACTTGTAATCTTCCACTGTAGGCCAATGACCAATGGAACTACTGTGCAATTTTTTAAAAACTGGAGACATGCAAAAAGAATACTTAGTCGGTACAAATCCATTTAAAATATGAAAATCAACATGGAAATGGTGAAAGGAAGTTAAAATTCTGCTAAGAACAGAGCACACTACAATTAAGGTTTCAAAATAGATTGCTGGAGACATTCACATTTTTCAAAGAACATTGGAAGCCCCAATTAGGCAACACGATGTTCACCTTGAAAAGGCAAAATTAAAATACAGCAAAAGAAGTAGAAAATGCCTTTTCAAATTTTCAAAAGATCAGAGTTATTAAGCTTTTTTAGAGTTTAAATGTCATTATTTTCCATTATTTGTGTACATTTTTAGAAGCAGAGTGTTGATTTATTCCCTTCTACATTAGAACCCCAGCAAATCCCATGGCGTAGGGCAAGATGCATACAGAAACAAAACTAGCTCTTGCTTATTTATCACTGTAGCATTTGCTTGTAAATTTTAAAATTCTTTTTTATTAAATAAAATCTACAAAACCTGGGGATGTAGCTCGATGGTGGAGCCTTTGCCTAGCTTGCACAAGGCCCTAAGTTCAATCCCCAGCACCACAAAATAATAACAGCAACAACAGACCTACATAAAGCAAATAACACAACTCATAATTGTACATCTTTTCATACAAATTTTTATTCCTTTTACAAAGTGAACATATCCATCTAACCAGCACCCAGATCCAGGAAGATCTTGACCATTGCCAGAAACCCAGGCATTCCTCCTTCACACCCAACTCCCCTTTCAAAGGTAGCCACTGTCTTCAGTTCTAAAGTGCAAATTAGTTTCGCATAGTTTTTGTTTGATTTGCCTTTATATAAATTGAATTATGCAGTGTCCAATCTTCAGTGGCAGGGCCGGGGATATAGCTCAGCGGCATAAGTGCTTGCCTGGCAAGCTTGAGGTCATGAGTTCAATTCCCGGTACCAAAAAAAAAAAAAAAAAAAAGATTAGACCCAATCTTCACTGTCCTACTCATTTTATTCAACATTGTGCGTGGGAGATTCATCCATATTGTGGCATGCAGTTTATTTTGGGTGAATCACATATAAAGATAAACTAGACATTCTAGACCACGTTTAGAAGCATAACTTTGGAGAACCTGAAGTTTTAATTCATTATTTTATTCTTAGAACTATTTCTAGAGAAAAAAAGAAAAATAATATCAAATACCCCACTGTGTGGTAGGAGAAAAAGCAATAAAGCAGCAATCAGCTTCTGTAATAACTATATAAAGTATATGTAAATATTTCCATTTTATAAATAATGAAACTGAAATTTAAGCAAGTTATACTTGTACCGGTAGCTACAAATGAAAGAACCAGAATTTGAACCCACATCTGATTCTACCATCCTACAATGGTTCCCATAGTCACAGGATATGCTTTCAACTCTTTTTAGAAACCAATGAGCTTCATTAGCCCTGGAATCCAAAGTTGAGGTTTCTCCCTGAAAAAGCTGAGCAAGTTTCAGGAGTGCTGCATCAAAGAGGAAAATGAGGTACTTAGGTCTTGCATTTTTTATGATAGTACAGTTGTTAATTCTGCTTTAAAAACAGTCACACGTGACTTTGAAATTAGAAAGTTCTTTCTTGTGTATGTGTGCATGGGTACATCAAAAGAAATTAAAATGACAAAAAGTTCCAAGAAGCTGTTAACTCAAACTTTGGAGGAGAAACATGCCTTTGGAGAGATTAGTAATTTCAGAGAGTGCAATAATTTACCACCCAAAGTAGAAAGCTATGACTTACATGTAAAGAAATGAGGAATAAGAACAATTATTAAAAATTCTGAAATGGTACATTTTTTTTTTGTTTTTTCAGACAGGGTCTCACTATGCAGTTCAAGCTGGTCTGGAACTCACTATGTAGTCCAGGTTGCCTTTGAACTCGTCCTCCTGCCTAAGCCCCCAGAGTGCTGTGATACAGGCGTGCATCACCACATCTGGCTCTGAAATAGTACTTTGTTGAATTAAATTATCAGCGCAGAAAGAAAAATCTCAACTAGAGATTGAGAAGTAAAAGCATATCAAAGGGTTGCCAAAATATGTACTTAGCTTCCACAGCAAGCACAGTATAGAACCAGAACATTCCATCGACACCAGGAAGCATTTATTTATCCCTTATCCCATATCTCTCTGAAAAGTAATCATACAAGCCAACAATGTTTTCCTCTTTTGAAAAGCTTTGGCTTCTAAACCATTTTGCTGTGTTAACATTCTGTTGACAGGTATTTGATGTATAAAATTGAACCACGACAATAAGTGGAATATAGTTTCGAAGATATGAACTTTTTGGTGTATTCTGGATTTTTTAAAAAAGAGGCACATGGACTGTAGAAATTAAAAGATACGTTAGGCAAAGTAGACACCACTTAAGAAAGCATGGAGCTGGGAAAGGAAAAGTGATGTCACTAAGTTACCTCCAATGAAATAGACAGGGAAGAACTGTGAGTAAACATAGGAGATGACTCAGACCTTTGTCAGGCACATGATAGATAGATAGATGATATATATAGATATATAGATATATAGATAGATAGAAAGATACATGGATACCTTCAAAAGAACAGAGCAAAACATTCAAATTTGACTCAGAAAGTATAAAAACTCAACAGGATCCAGAACATTTTTATCTGGCCTAATCCTTTTTAACTTTCAACTTGCAGTTCAGGATTAATGGTGATCAGAGAGAAAAGAAGGAAAGGAGGGAGGAAAGAAGGGAAATCTCCACAAAACAAAATGGAATAAAAACAGAACTGGCTGGGTGCGGCAGTACACACCTGTAATCTCAGCACTTGGGAGGCCCAGGCAGGAGGCTTAGCACAAGTTCGAGGCCAGCCTGGGCTACAGACTTAGTTCATGTCCAGCCTGAACTACATAGTGAGACCCTGTCTCAAAAAATCGAAGAACAAAACCAAACCAAACCAGAACTAAAGTCACATTTGGAGATGAATGGTAGTGATGGAAAGCTTTTCTTTGCTTGTGAATAAAGAAACCATAACAGACTCCTGTGGTAAATGTTAATAAGGGGCATGAAGCTTAACTCAAATGTAAGGATAGAGTCAGTGTGCTCAAGGTACCTGGGGAATTAAACGGAGCATAGAGGCAAGATTACAGGCTGAAAATAACTAATGAGACATTTACCTGTGTTCAACCATGTCAAAAGTTGATCCATTTTTTTCTTTCTGAAAAACAAAGAAGAAAGTTTTCAATTGTTCTAAACTTCGACTATAGAAGTGAGTTAAGAAGACATTATTTGCACCTGGAAACTAGGCTAGAAAATGGTAAAGTGCGCAGTTTGATGTTCAGGACTCCCATCTATTATTTCAACATTCTTTCCCCCTGCTAGAAGGTACAATTACACATGCACAATGACCTCATTTTCTTCTCTCTTCTTCTTTTACACTTATTTTCGGCAATGGATTCAAATGACTATAAGGTTTTATATTATAAATATATATTTTTAAAAGGGGTTATTAGAACACTTGTTCAAAATGAAATGGTATACAAGTATAACGTAAAAGCAAAGACAGGGCTGGGGGAGTAGCACAGTGGTAGAGCACTTGCCTAGCATGCGGGAGGCCCTGGGTTCCATCTCCAGAGCTGGAAATAAATGGTGGAAGTAGAGAGCTCCAATTGAGCAAGAGGTGGATGAAAGCCTGCAGCATCAGCTTCCTGGAAGTGCCTGAGGCATTGCCATCAAATCTCCAGAATTCTAAGGAATGCCATTAAAAAAACATTTCATACAAAACCCACATTTTACAGACCGAGGCTTCAGACCTGGTGATGAGGGGTACTTTGTTCAAGGCGATGAACTCGTGAAAAAGTCAGTTCTATATCCTGATTGATCTCAGGCTAACTTCTTTAAAGGGTATTTGAATTTTGAAAGAGATCTCCTGGTTTCCAGCTCTGGTTGTAGGGAAACTGAAAGCTGTCACTCTGCCCTAACAGTAAAAAGCTGGCTAGACAGAAAAGTCAGCAACTCTTGCATTCATAGAAACAGTGATGAAAAGGCAAACCACTGCTTCTAAGATTGGAGAGACAGACAGGTGAATATGGGAAGTCACGGCTTACTACAGTGTAAACCTCCATGGAACCCATGCTGGGGAAAGAAAATCTGAACTGTACTTGACAGATCACTGGAGGCTTAGTCTGGAGAAGTTTGAGTTAGAAACTCCAAGGGGACCCAGTCAGAAGGGAGCTTCCACAGTTTTGTGAGTTTTACTTCCAGTAATTAATTTTTTCAATTTTTATTTTTTATTAGTACATGTTTACACTACATAATGATTACATTCTGCATGGGGAATGGGTACATGTAAGTAACACATCTCAATTAACCCTCCCCTTTCTCCACCCTCCCTCCACCTCTTGGTCCTCTTCACTTTGCAAAAGATCTATCTCCCTATCGTCTATTATCTATCTTTTATTTTGCTGTTTATTTATATTTTGAGTTTCTCACATAAGAGCGATTATGTGATATTTAAGCTTGTGAGGCTGATTTATTTCACTTAGTATTATGGTCTCAAGTGCATCCATTTTTTTTACAAATGATTCAACTTTATCATTATTTATGGAACAGTAGTACTCTATCGTGTATAAATGCCACATTTTATTTATTTATCTGTTGATGAACATATAGTCTGCTTCCAAGCTTTACCTACTATGAATTGTGCAGCTATAAACATGGGTATGCATGTGTCACTGTAATATGATATTTTTAACTCTTTCAAAATATAAAAACAATTAATTTATTGTTTCTAATTGCATTGATTTCAGTCCTTTCCTTTTTTGGTAAGATTAGCTAAGGGTTTATCTATCTTGTTTATTCTTTCAAAGAACCACCTCTTTTATTCATTGGTTCTTTATAATGTTATTTTAGTTTAAATTTCATTAGTTTCAGCCGGGCATGGTGGCACATACCTGTAATCCCAGCACTCAGGAGGCTGAGGCAGGAGGATCATTGCTAGTTCGAGGCCAGCCTGAGCTACAAAGTGAGTTCAAGACCAGCCTGAACTGCATAGTGAGACCCTGTCTCAAAACGATAAATAAATAAATAAATAAATAAAAAATAAATAAATAAATAAATAAATATCATTAGTTTCTACTCTGATATTTATAATTTTGTTTTATCACACAAATGTAGTTTCTACTCTGATCTTTATAATTTTGTTTTATCACACAAATATTTCTTTTGTATTATTATTGAGTTTATTGGTACAATTTAGATATACATAATAATCACATTCATCATAGAAAATTCTTACCTGTACATGATATATCTTAATTCCTCTTTTTAAAATTTCTCTACCCTGTTTTTAACACTTCTTCTCCTGCTTATTTACAAATCTTTGTTTCATTCTATACTTCTTTTCTCATTTTCTCTTTTCCTTTCTTTCTTTTCCCTTTCTACTTCCCTAGTTCTCCTTTCCTTTTGAACAATTTCTTCCTATTTCACAATAGCTATTACATCTTGGTTCTTATTTATACTTCCAATTTCTCAACTACAATAACAATGTGATATTTACACATCAGTCCAATTTATTTCACTTAAGAGTATGGTCTCAAGGTCCATTCATTTAACTAAAAATGTCTCAAGTTTATGCTTCTTTACGGCTGAGTAATACTCCATTGCATAAAAACAAACCCACATCTTTTTTATTTATTCATAAGTTAATGGGCATTTGGGTTGTTTCCAAGATTTAGCTATAACAAACTGTGCTGCTATAAACATGGATATGTATATACCACTGTGGTGTGATGCTTTAAATTATTTTGGGAATATATTAAGAAGGAGAGTAACTGGGTCAAATAGGACCTCTAGTCCTAGTTTTCTGAGGAATCTCCACACTGATTTCCACACTGTTGCACCAGTGTACATTCCCACCAACAGTGGAGAAGATTTATTTTTTTCTCACATCCCCACCAGCATTTGTTATTGGTTGATTTTGTGATAATAGCCATTCTTTCTGGAGTGAGATGGAATCTCAGTGTTGTTTTAGTTTGTGTCTCTTGAATGATCAGTGATGTTAGACATATTTTCCTATATTTATTTGCTGTTTGTACTTCTTTAACTGAAAAGTATATATTAATCTCAGATGTCCATTTTTGGATTGGGTCTTTAAAATTGGGGCATCTAATTTTTTAAATTCTTTAATTTCTAGATATTATTCTTTTGTCTGGGTAACAACTAGCTAAAATTTTTTACCACCCTGTGGGCTGTCTTTTCACTCTGTTGGTGGTTTACTTTGCTGGGAAAAAGCTTAATAACATGACATCCCAGTTGTTTCTTCTTTGTAGTATTTCCCATGCAGTCTGGGTTTTGTTCAAGTCTTTGCCTACACCTAAGTCTTCAAGAGTTCCACCTATTTTATATTCCAGCAGATTTAGTGTTTCCACTTTAATATTTAGATATTTGATCCATTTCGATTTTAGTTTAGTGCATCATGATAGACATGTTTTAGTCATTGGCATGTGGAGAGCCAGTTTTTCCAGCACCATTTAGTAAAGAGGCTATCTTTCTTCCAGCGAAGGTGTTTGGACCCTTTGTCACAGATAAGGTGGCTGAGTATGTCTGGAGTTATTTCTTTATCTTCTAATCTGTTCCATTGATCCATAGTTCTTTTTTGTCAGTACCATGCTTTTTTTTTAATTTTAAAGAGAAAAAAAAACTAACAAAACAACAATGAAGACAAAAACAAAAATGACACAAAACAACAAAAATGATACATGACCTCAAAACAAAATGATAGGAATTAACAATGGAAGGCGCTGCGTTGGATTTCTTCACCAGTTCCAGCCTGCTGTGAAGGAGTCACTTGCAGAACAACACCCCACGCTGTTTCTGTAGTTTACAGTCTCTGTGGGCTTCTCTTGGGACTAGCGCTTCCGGCCCAGTGCACTGTTTTTCCCTGGAACTGCCGGCTCTCTGGGCCTCATCTTCTCTCCTGGGGTGTTGGTCTTGTCCAGAATCAGGTCAGGTGGTTGGTCAGTGCTCCTGCTGCCCCTCGCTGAGGGTAAACAAAATGCAGAGTGGGCTTGGAGTTGGTAGGTAGCCACTGCCAGGGCGTGGAATCCACTCAGAGTTGGCTCGGAACATCACAAAGGTAGCTTCTCCCCACTGTGCATATGAGGGCAGGGAGTATGTGGGACTCTCTGTACCTTCCTCTCCACTTTGCTGTGAACTTAAACTGCTTTAAAAATACCTCAAATAAAAAAATAAATTAAACAAAAATTCAGCAGAATAAAAGCCTGTTTTATGAAACAGTAGAATAAATATGGAAAGTACTGACAAGCTCAATTAAGGAAATTTACAGGAAATGGGTAGGTTACACTGGTCTTTTCCAAAAGGAGTCTAGCATTATTTAATTAAGACTACTTCAGGAAAAGTAACAGTCTTCTCAGGGATAAATCTTGAAAGTCTTAAAAGTTTATGTAAAGTAACTTCTTACAGTAAATTTCAGTAATTTGAATTTGCACTGGGTTAAAGTTCATGTCTTTACTGAGTGACTCCATATAAAATAAGGAGAGGAAGAGGGGTTAAAGAAAGGAGAGGGAAATGAAAAAAAAGAGGAACTAAGATCTAGCACATACAGGTACAAACTCCCTATCATGAATGTGATCATTATGTGTATCTAAACTGTACCAACAAACAATGTAAAAATTTAGAAAAGGTCCATTAATGCAAATAAATAGTACAAATAAAAATAAGGACATGGAGAAGGATATACATTCTATTTAAGAGACAAATCAAACTGGGCAATCCTGTAATCCTAGCTGTGGCATGAGGGCTGAGGCAGAGGATCACTATGACTTTGAGGCCAGCCTGGGCTACACAGTGAGTTCAAGACCAGCCTGGACTACACAGCAAGATTCTGTCTCAGAAAAGCCAAAAGAGGAGGAACTGAGGGAGAGGGAAGAAAGAGAGAGAGAGAAAAAGCGCTAATTTAAAAGTAGAATAATTTTAGAACAGAAAAGAAATACAAAAATTACTCACTCAAGCTTTTTAAATTTTACAAATAAAAACTATAGCTGAGAAATTAAAGGCTGCCATTCCCTAAGGTAAACAGGAAGCTGGTGAATTAACTGAAGCTAAAAATTAATTCTCTTGAGGGGAAGGAAAGGAAAAAAGAATTAAGACGTGTTATGTTCATGTACCAACTCCCTGTGAGGAAGGTAATCACTCTGTACTCCAAACACACACTAATAAAAAGTAAAAACTATAAAAAGAAAAATAAATACTTTTCTGGATCCTTCTCATTGAATTACGTCTTACTTTTTTTACAAGTTAGTCTAATTTTTGTTATCTTGAGCTCTGACTTCTACTAGAAATACTGCTACAAGATGTTCTATGTTATTACATCTACTTGAAAACAATGGATATAATTTTGAAAATGTAGAATATATGTTATTAATTCAGACAAGATTCCCTCTGTGACAGCACTGCCAAACTGGTATAAATGATAGAGGTTTGACTATATGCCACAATTACATGGAATATAAAGCACCTTTAAATTCAGTGTTAAAGATGTTATAAAGAATTGACACTCAGTTATTTAAATAAATTGGATGGCAATTACGTTCCAGATACTATCCTAGGTTCCAGAGATATAAACATAAATACAGAGTCCTAGCCTCAGGCAGTTCCTACTCTCTAATAGCTATCAAAGTTTGCTCTCTGGATTTCCTTCTTTAAAAAACAACTTTGTGGTTGAAAATTTCAAAGCTATTCAAATATTAAAAGACAAGTATAAGGGCTGGGGATGTAGCTCCACGGCACAGCGCCTGTCTGGGAAGCATGAGGTCGTGAGTTCGATTCCCGGTACCAGAAAAAAAAAAAAAAGACAAGTATAATAAATCCCTAAGTACCTATCATCCAGCTTTCAGAATCAACTTATCATCCATCTTATCTCGTTGATAACTCCACTTATTTTCTTCTCATATTATTCTGAAGCAAATTCCAGACATCACATCATTTCAGCCATATATATTTCAAGCATGCATCTCTAAAATATGAGGAATCTCTTATTTGAAAATATAACCATGCTACCATCGTAATTAATTTCTTAATACCAAACATTTGGTAGGCACATTTCCTACTGCCTAACATCTTTTGTTGTTTGTGTTCCATGCTAATTGATTCATAAAGCTTGTAAAGAAATGGCAAATCTTATGGTATGTGCTTGGGTAAAATTCGTATTACAATGAAGCACATTATAAGTCCCATGGTATCTCAATCATAGATATATGCTAAAAATTTAGATTAAAACATATATTGCCTCTAGTTGAAAACAGAAAAAGCAGTAAAGATACACTATTACAGAGTTCCTGTTCAAGGAGAGGATGCAGAGATGGGTGGTATTTCTAAAAGTTATCCCTAATCAAGACCTTGAATGAAATTTTCTTTCCAATCTTTGAGAAGTAGTATTATGAATGAAAAATTGTTGACCAAATTCTTCCATGGATTATTCGATTTTTTTTTTTTTTTTTTTGAGACAGGGTCTCGCTATGCAGTTCAGGCTGGCCTTGAGTTCACTTTGTAGCCCAGGTTGGTCTCGAACTCACAACGATCCTCCTGCCTCAGCCTCCCGAGTGCTGGGATTACAGACGTGCACCACCACACCCGGCTGGATTATTAGATTCTTGATAGTTATTATCTATCACAGAAACTGTGAACAGAAACATTGGAATACTCTTAGCTGAGCTGAATAGAATCAGAATCAACAAGCTATCCAGGTTATAGGTCAACAAGCTTCTGTGGAAGAACTATGCCTGTATTTGTGCCTACTGGTAAGGAAGGGAAAAACAAATGCAATATTATAATGAGACCATATGTAACATTATCGAGGATTTCATTAAATGACTAGCACCCTGTTTTACCTGTATTAACTTAGGCTCTGGTTTCTCTTCAGATCACATAAGTCTTTTGCCTTTTGTATTTATTAAATCCCTGGGTGATCATAGAACCCCCATGAGATCTATACTATTATTATTTTCTTTTTACAAATAGAGAAATGGAAGCCAAGAAATATTAAGAAACTTGCCCAAGGTTACATACCTAATACACAGCAGAGCTGGGATAGGAACACAGGAAGACGGTCCTAAAACCTGGATTAATACATCTCTCATCTCTCACCACGCATAAAGCTTCTATTAAAAGTTGCTACAAAGTTTCTAGTGGTGAATTTATTTTTGTTGAAATAACTTACTTATTTTCAAATTCCAACATTTGAGAAACTGTTAGAAGAACAAGATGAAACAGACACTTGTGTAATAAAATAATATATAAAGTGATTCTTAGGAAGAAATACTTAAGAATATATATGAAGTTATTAACTGTACTATCGCAGGAGGCAGAACTGAGAAAAGACATAGTAAGAAGAGGTCGATCTTACTGTATTCATAGTTCTTTGTGTCACTTAATGATTGCAATGAAAACACAGTAGTATTGTGATTTTTTTTAATTTTAAAGAGAATAATAACAAAAACAATAAAATGAAACAGAATTTTAAAGCAAGAGGATAGGAAATTAATAATAGTTATTATATTGCATATTGTTGTCCTCAAAGTAGTTGCCCAATAAAATAATTTTCAAATAAAAATGTTGTCTATAAAAATTTAATAAATGGTTTCACAGTTTGCAGCACTGCTAACATCATCTGCTAGAACATCTGATACTGTGTACACATTTTTAAATTTTTCTTTCTGTAAAGGAACCTGGAACTGGTCCTTGGATCCCACATAAGATAGGATCACTATACTTTGAAGGGATCTGGAAATATAATGACAAATTGACAAAATGAAGTACAGTAACAGGCAGTTTCGAGCCTGAAAATGTTTTAAAAATACCTTCTGTCTTAAACGATCCAAAATACTTACCTGAATGAAGGTATGCAAGTATCTCAACTCCTTTTGGCTTTTATTTTTGTGACACCATTTCCCTTTGGAAGCACTGTATGAAGTGTAATTAACTTACAGGAAAACATTTCTAGAATACTTTTGCCTTCTCATTTTTTCACTAGCATTTTCTCAGTCACAACATTAGTAGTTGTCATGTACCAACCCCACAAATTTCTCACAACTTTCTCTTTCACTATTTTATATAGAAGTTCCCTTTTGACAAAACTTTTACCATCCTAGAGAGAAGGGCGAAGATCAGATTCAACTTCTTTTTTTAAAACTTTGAGCAGCTGGGTAAACAGTTATTGACCTCACCAGCACTATTTTGGCAGGTTACAGATCAAGAGTAAGGTGAATAGAGAACGTCCTTTCGACAGAACAGTAAGTGGGTCACTTACTTTAAAGCTACAAGTACTTGTGTTTCTTCTGAATGTTGAGTGAAATATTCCAGAGCTCTTCCTGCCACAATTTGTTGTCCATTCTAAAAAAAACCAAATTAATATGTTAAAGTACATCTTCAAGTGGTACCTATTAAGTTATCTATATTCATGCCTACTAAGACAAGAAAAAAATCTGAACACATTCATTTGCATTCTCAAAAGAGCTACTGCAAGCCAGTAGAATGAAGACAAAATTTAGGTTCACATTAACCCCAGAAACCCACAAACACTCATAGCTTTGCTAACACTGCCTTAAATCTACTTGGACTAATTTTATGGTTCTCTTTATTCCTGTGTTTTAGCAGGAACAGAGAGAATTCCAGACAGTCAGATCACCTTCATTTCTAGCACGCTAATTTCCAACAGGCTCTGAACAGATCCTCTTCTGTCCTTTTCCCATCTCTTCCTAATTACCCCAATCCTCCCACAATTTCCTCTGGTATTCAGCCCACTATTAGCAAAATCTCCTCCACAAGCAACCTCTTCTTTGAAAGTCCCCTCCCCATTATTGCTGTAATGCAGTGATGGCAAACCTTTTAGCTTCCAAAGGTAAGACACAAACCCCTGTGGCACATGTGCTATAGGTTTGCTACCATTGCACCAATGAAAATGTATGCCTCTGCCAACATTACTGCTTCCACTGAGGCCTCTCAAGTGGATTTCTTTTTTGGTACCTGGAATCGAACTCAGGACCTTGTGCTTTCCAAGTAAATCGCTGTGTCACTGAGCTGTTCCCCAGCCCTCAAGTGGATTTTTTGCTCTCATTTCCCTTCTACCCCGAGGCAATACCTTTCTTGCTTTTCACTGCCATTTAAGAATTATTATCCATGCTCCTTTCCTGAAGCTCCCAACTTTGAATTTCTTGTCATTAGACTGTGTCACACACTACTCCTCTTTGTTGCTGTGGTCAATCAGCTCTAAAGCCACTTCTTCTCATGTCTTGATTATTTAATTATTGCTAAGGTTTTTCTTTTTGTCCCTAGACCACCTGTCTTAGTTTTTGTCATTTTCAACATGTAAGCATATATTCCTTTCAACATCTTAGCCTCTTAGTGAATTCCACTCTGCCAAGAATCTTAGGCATTCATTCTCACAGTTCCTCACAAGATCTGGTCATTGCCGGTAACTGCAACCCTTCAGTCAGGGCTGGGCATAGGGTGAGCCAGGTAAGGAGAGAAGCACCTAGGGTACAAAATTTAAGGAAGCACTCACTCTTTGGATTGTACAAAGTACTAAGTCTGCACTCGCAGGACCCTGAAAGGGAGGACCTCCTTAATGGTGCTCTCTAGGAGCCCCATTCTGTCACCCTAGTGCCTCACCTAGGTTCCAGCCTCACGTGAGTTTTTGACCACTTTCTGACCACTGCCTCTTACCCTCCCCCACCTCCAGCACCCTGACTAACAACCCTTCAGCCACAGTCCTGCCTTTAACTCTGCATTGTGCCTCACATTTTTAACATCATCCTTTGCACCCAGTTTAAAGTCGAGAGAGATTAACAATCACAATCTCTTATTCCTGAATGCTCTTGCCCCTCTTTTGATTCATTGCATTCATGCAGCAAAAACAGAAGTCTGGTTAAATCCAGCGTTCTATGGGGCCTGGATCCATTAGGCAGAGTAAAAGCCATACAACTATCTTCCTTACTTAAGAATGTCAAAAATTGATCCTTCACGCCCCTGGCCAGTAGATCACACTTCTTTGGTCATTCACTTTCCTGCTTTCTTGGCTGAGCAGTTTATAGTTTATCAAAGCCCCAGTATGTTTTCTCCTAAGGTCATGACTGAGAGAGGAAAAAAAGAGGAAGCAGCAAAGGAGAACAAAATGTAGGAAATAGGAAGTAAACAAGGATAATATAGATATGCCCAACGCCAATTATATTTCAAAGAGAAAAGAATGGTCATCTGTATTGACTAATATTGATAGGTAAAATACAATAAGGACTGAGATTCAAGCATTCCAATTTACAATGTCAAGATCATCGGGGACCTTGACAAAAAGAATTTTGGTAAAGCTTGACAAATGCTCAGGAGATATGGAGGAAAGGAATTAGAGACAATAAGTACAGATGACATTTTAGAAGAGTTTTGCTACAAATGGAAGAAAAGCAATTGGGCAGTAGCTGGGAGGAGAAGGCGGGTCAAGAGGATTTTGTTGTTGTTGTTTTTGTTTGGTTAAGATGGGATAATTGAGTATGTTTATATGCTGACAGGACGGAAGCAAATAAGACAACAAAAAATTGACAAGATGAGAGAGAAGAAAGTCAAGAGGTGAAGGAAACAAGTGTTTAAATTGTAGAAACCACCTTAGGAAAGAACACAGAGAGTTCACCCATGACAGGGCTTGAGAAGGTAGAATGTACAGTGTAACTGCTTGTGGTGGGACTCTGGAAGTTCTCTTCCTGACTATTTCCGTTTTCAGAAACTAAACTGTACACATTATCTCTCGCATATGGGGGGATGAATTTTGTAAGGTGTTTGAAAGAGAAGGTAGCTTATTTTAGAAGGAGAGATGGCAATGTTTTACCTGCTTAGTAGTCTTACTAGCCTTTCTATACTCCTCACATCAAGATTAGATTATTACTGTAGTCTCCCATCCTGTCCTGCCTCTAATTTCTACCTATGTATTTCATAAGGTGCAAAATTATTTTCCCAAAGCACTGCTTTTAAATATATTACCAATAATGTTTTCTTATTGTTGAGAAAATAATCAGCATTGTATAATCAGGTCACAGCATGTCTTCTACTTTACCTTGTATTTTTCTATATAATTATGATAAAAATACAAACCATTGTTACATTAGGTCCAAGATCTAGAATAGTGAAGAAATAAAGTATCTCTCACTCTTAACAAAATACCAAACATGTTCCCTCTTCCGTGTCTTATCATCCCGTTCTTTTAAAACAAAATGTACTTACATATCAAATCACTGCCCTTTCCAAATCTCAATTTAGGTTTCCCTCCATTGTAGAGACAGACTTCCCAAATCAGTTCCAGGTCTTAATGCCCTCTTCCTCCTTCGAGTTTCAGTAATGTTAATATGTATTCAGTTAGTAGGTCTTTATCCTATATATTGTCTTACATCGCTAATGCATGCCTTGTATTCTCAAATTAACTTGTAAGATCTTTGAAGACAGTATTTTTAGCACCTAGACCAATATCTTGCTCAAAGTAGTGGGCAAATGCAATTTGAACAGTATGTACTTTTGTGTTAATAAGTAGGTAGGAGAACACAGGAGAGAAGCAAAACGTTTGGCACATGCAGACACAGGGCATGTTCACGCAGAATGGGAAAGAGGAGGAAATGAAACAAATTCTGCAGCAGGAAGCCTAAAAGCAAATATCTTTTTAAAGGAAGGTTGATAAATTTACATTTGATATAAATAGCAGAAGAGAGCTAGTGAAAGAATTATGGAACTGTAGTTCTGAGTAGAAAATGGTTTCATCTAGGAGAAAGAATCAGAAACTAAAGTAATTTAAATAAGACGATGGACTTCATAGCTTACAAAACGCATTTTCAAACATCTTCTCCGTTAGTTTTCGTAATAGTCCTAAGCATAGGTATTATTTTTGTGGTGCAAATGATAGAATTAGGATTTAACGAAGTTAGGCACTTACTAAGTGGCTGAGCCAGTACTCAAACCCAGACCATGGGCTCTAGAGAGGTTACTATGCTTCTACTACTCCATATATGATTAACACCGAAATCTTGCAAGTAAAAATATGAGTCCAAGTGTTTATTACACTTAAACTAACATTTTGTTATTGTGAACTAACAATGTGCACAGACATTTAAACCATCTTGCTGAAATTGATGAGAAAAGTAAATTTCCAAATAGATACCTATTTATCTAAACGGTCTGGCATTTTAAATCTGACTTTTCCTTTAAAAATAATATTTTGAGCTGGGCGAGCTGGTGCATGCCTGTAATCCCAGTACTTGGGAGGCTGAGGCAGGAGGATCACTGAAAGTTCAAGGCCAGCCTGGGCTACATAGTGAGGTCAGGGTCAGCCCAAACTACACAGCGAGACCCTGTCTTTAAAAAAATAATAATATTTTGATAATTTTATTTTTTATGTTATTGTAAGCACAAATCTCTTTCTCATTTTGTTTCACTTTTCCTTAGCTGCATTACAAAAAAATGAGAAATAAAAGAATTCTGCAACCAAGCTTGGTGTGAAAATGTGAGGCAAAACACAGTACAGGAATGTCTCTCCTGTATATAACTGCTAACGACTCTATTCACTGTCTTTCAAAAGGAAAAGAGGTCAAAATCTAGTAGATAGGTACACATACAGAGCAGCCAAACATAGGAGCATGGTAGGTGAACCTCTATTTGCAAGTAGATCATTATCTTTTGGTTCTTCATCTGTGAATAAATTTTTTAAAGTAGTGATTTCCTGCAAAGCTGTAAAACAAGGAAACAATGGAAATACGAGATATTCTTATCGTAGATAATATTTATCTAGAATTAATTCTACTATATTGAATTTGGAGCTTATTTTATGAGCAATGATGTGTTTAGAATATTAGTTAAGGTTCATAAAATTGTTTGGTAAATTGCCAAGCAGGATTTGATTATCAGAAACAGGCCCACCTAGTCTGTGAATAATGGGTAGGCTAAATATATCTTGGTAATTCATAAAATGCAATATAATACAGAACAAAGTTAGAAATTGAAGGGCTATATTATATTTTATTATATATCCTAAAGGTAGGGTATGATAGAGTAAAGATATATACTATGGACTTTAAGTAACAAATAAATAACAAAAGTTATAGCTCTTAAGACAAAAAAGATTATAATCATAAAATTTCAATTAAAAAGAATCAGAAAAGAGCAACAAAGAACAGAAAAGAAATTACGTGATGCTAAATTTAAGTCTAACTATATTAACAAACATGTTAAATATAAGTAACTAAATCACTTCATTAAAAGGCAGAGATAGATTAGATTAAAATAAAACAGCTTTCAAATATATGTTACCTACAAGAAACACAGCTTAAAGGTAAAGGTCAAATTTGTTAAAAGGATAGGGTAATACTATAGCCAAGGTAATCAGAAGAAAGCTGAAGCAGCTATATTAAAATCTGACAAAGTAGATTTTAGAGGAAAGAGTGATTGATAATGTTAAAAGGGTATTTCAAGAAAATAAAGGAATCAATTCATCATGACAATGAAGACCTAAATGTTTACACATAAGATAACAGAATTTCAGAATATAAGAAGCAAAAACTGGTAGAGCCACAAGGAGAAATGAATAAATCCATATTTGTACCTGGAGTTTGAAATTCCATCTTTTAATAATTGGTAGAATAAATAGACAGAAAATCAGCAAAGACACACTATGTTGAACATTATCAATCAACTTGACCTGACTGACATTTATAAAATACTCAACCCAACACCAGCGAAATGTCTATTCTTTTCAAGTACATATAGATATTTACCAAGAAAGACAATATTCTAAGCCATAGAACCAGTTCTAGTATACTTTAAGGGATTCATTATACAAAGTATGATTTTTTACTACAATGGACTTAAATTAAAAATCAAGCTGCCTGTGATCACAATCAACTTGGGAGGCGGAGGGCAGGAAGACAATACGTTTGGGCCAGCCTGGGCAATTTAACAAGAACTTGTCTCAAAATAATTTTTTGCTTTTACTCATTTATGTATTTTCATTGGTATATGTTTGTAGTAGTTAATATTTATATTCGCTGCAGGGAATTGATGCAAATACATAATACATCTTAATTCCTTTTTTTAATCCCCTTTCCTCTCCTTCTGTTTCCCCTTCAAAATAAATTATTTTCAAAAGGCTGGAGATGGAGTACAGTGGCACAGCGCTTACCTAGCATACACAAAGCCCTATGTTCAACTGAAAAAAATTAATAAAAGGACATTCTCTACAAAATCAGTGAATATTTGGAAAATAAACAACACATTTCTAAATAATCCATGTATTTAAGAAGAAAAAGTCAAAATTGAAGGTATTTAAAACTAAATTAAAATAGAAACAGGACATACTAAAATTTGCAAATTGTCAGTAAATAGTTAGAAGATTATTTATCACATTAATGGTCTATTTTAAATCAGAATAATGGTCTTAAATCAATGGCTTCAGCTCTCAACTTTGGAAAATGGAAAAATAAAATTAAATAAACCTCAAAGTGAGCAAAAGAATAGATACGATGAACATTAGAATGTAGGGCTTGGGGATATAGCTCAGCAATGGAGTGATTAGCATGTGCAAGGCCTTGGGGTTGATTCCTAGATACATACAATGCATGAATGAAGATTAAAATGTAAATGAATGAAACAGAAAAATGGAGAAAAATTAAAGAAAGCAAAATCTAGTTTTCCAAAAAGATCAATAAAATTGATCAACTTCTAGCTACACTGGCCAGGAATAAGAGAGAAGAAACAAAATACAGTTTCCATAAGTAAGAAAGGTGATATCATTGGAGATTTTACACGTTAAACGGATAATAAGGGAGATGTCATTAACAACCTCAGGACAAAAAATTTTAAAGATGCAAACTACCAAGGCTAAATCAAGAAATAATAGATAACCTAAATAGCCCTATATAAAGTAAAGAAATTTAACTTATAATTAAACACCTTCCCATACAAAAAAGTACAGCTTCACTGGTGAAACTTATTATTTAATGAAGAAATAATATCAATTTACCACAAACTTCCAGAAAATTGAAAAGAAGGGTATGCTTCCTAGCTTATTCTATAAAGTCAGTATATGTAGTAGCAAAACTAAAATAAAATTTATGAAAAAACTATGAATCAATATCACTCATGACCATAGCTACAAATATTCTTAAACCATTGACAAATCAAGTTATATAAAAGGAAAACATATCATGACCAAGTGAGGTTTACACTAATATATAGCACTGGCTTAGAAGCCAAAAATCAGGGTAACTAAGCATATTAAGAAACTTCTAAAATTTTTAATCATTTCAATAGTTGTAGAAAAACCATATGATCAAATTCATCACCCTTTTCTTATTTTAAAAAGACTCCCAGGAAAAAGGAAATAGAAGGGAACTTCCTCAACTGATAAAGGCTATCTATGAAAAATCCACAAGTAATATCACACTCAATGGTAGAAGACTGAGTATTTTTCCTCTAAAATAAGGAAGAGGACAAGAATATCAACTCTCTTCAATTTTAACCACCACATTACTGGAAAATCTAATAAATACAACAAGGCAATAAAATACAAATCGCATCCACATTAGAAAACAGGAAAATTGTGTTTATTCACAGACAACCTGATTTTCTATGTAGGAAATCTGATGGAACTCACAGGAAACTAATAAGTGGGTTTTGCAAAATTTTTGGAATACAGAATGAATATAAAATCATTTTTATCTCTGTATTTTAGCCACAAGCAATCAGAAACTGAAGCTTATAAAAATGCCATTTAAAGGAGCATAAAATATGGCATATTTAATGATAATATGACAAAAGATTCCCAGGACTTGCATAGTTTAAAATAGAAAGCATCATTTTGAGAAATTAAGGAAGATCTGAATAAATAAATGTTGGTAATGTGTTAATGAGTTGGAAGATTCGGTGATGTTAAAATGTCAATTCTCCACAAACTGATTTATAGATTCAATATAATCCCAATAAAAATTCACTTGTGTACAAATGGAAAAATTTATTCTAAGTCTCATATGGATATGCAAAGAACTTGGACGCTAAGAAAATCAGGGGACAAGCACTACATGATTCAGTATTTATTACATAGCTACACTAATGAACACAGTGTGACAACAGTGCAGACAGATAATAGATTGGACAAAATAAAGAATCCAGAGAAAGACACACACTTATGACAACTGAATTTTTTAATAATGATGCAAAGGTTATTCAACTGAGAAAAGACAATTTGTTAAACAAATGAGGCTGGAACAACTGGATAGCTATGTGCAAAAAAAAAAAAAGAACTTCACTGCAGACATGGCAGCCTAGAGGCAGCACCTCTCGTAAGATAAGTTGAAAGATGCTCGCCAGGGTCCACAGGGACGCAGAAATCCAAAAACAAGGAGGCAACTTGAAAAAGAAGTCCACCACATTCCACTATGAGTCCACCTGTCAATCCTGGCAGTTTACAGCCCAGGTCCAGTGAACATGCCATCTTGGGAAAGGACCAAACCCCCTGAGAGGAGAAGCCAAGTACAACAGAGGGGGTGGGACCCCTGCACATTCAGCACCCAGTTGATAGAGTTACTGCTCGGTGCTCACGGATCTTAGCTCCCTTCTCACTGAGAGATGGAGCCCAGTGAGCAAGATATTCACTGCAGAGGGCTGCCTCAGATGAGGAAGACCAGAGAATCATTCCAAAGGTGGTGACTGAGTTCGGACCGCTGAGCCCTAGGGACAAACAAGAGCGCAGTCCTGGGTGGGGATGTGGAGCCAGGCACTGAGAGATCCATCACACAGTGCAGCAGCTGTGAAAGCTGGGAGCCATGGGCGGAGAAAAGACGCTGGAGCGCTGCCAGAGAGGCACTGGCCCACCGCCATGCCCGCATACCACTGAACTCTGTGCCCATATGTACTCCCCACATTCCACGGGCCTCAAAGTTTGGGGCCTGTGCGGGATCCAGCCCACCATCTAGCAAAAGCTGCTCAACTCAGCAGCCATGTGAGCTCCCTCCTACTGACTTCCAGATGCTACTGAGTTCCAGGCAGATAGGCCATCCTCCCCAGAGCCCTAAATGCCACTGCCTTAGCGTACTGCACGGACAGAGAGTTTGCTGTGGGTGGAAAGCCGGAGGGAAGCGGCAGGGTCGGAATGGATTGCACAGCATGTTCACCCAGGGTGGTGTAGAAAGCGCAGACTTCAGCAGTTGCAGGGATTGCTGCAGAGAGAGAGGGATGGAGATACAGAAAGCCTCTTAAGAAATCACAAGACCAGGTACTTGACCAGCTCCATTTTTAACCAACTGGGAAGAGCACACTGATTGAAGTAAGACTGATGTATAACTAGGACTGAGAGGACTGCTTACTTTCGTGTCTTTCTATATATGTGGAGTTTTTTTTCTTTTGCTTTTTTCATCTGGGGTGTGTGTGTGTGTAATATGGAGAATGAGAATTAATTGGTGCCTTAGTTTTGACAGTAATTTTCATGGACATGTCAGGTTAACCTTCACTCAAAATTAGGCATGGAAGATTTAAACACAAGATTAATGTCAGCTTATTAATAGATTCTGATCTTAGAGCTTCTCTCAATTTAAAGTTATATTCCCCTCCCTTTTCTTCCTTTTTCCTCAGCTCTACAAATAACCTCTTAGACTTCGTGTTCTCCCTCCATCCTTTTCAGATGTAAAAATAGTATCATAGAAGTCCTATCTCTTCTCTTTTTCATTTGCTGTTATCCCTTTTTTACCCCTTATTTCTGAATTATTTTCTTCCTTTTCTTCTTCCTTTCTCTTCCTTTTACCCTCTACATCACAGCATACTTGTTATGAGTACTATACCTGATTAATAAAAGTGTGAATTTTTTAAAACAAGTTTTCAGTTATGTGATTGATAGGCAGTTGGTTCTGCAGATGCTAATATAACCAGTAACTGTTTGCTCCTTGAAATATACTCATCAGAACTGATCCTATCATGTGGACTAGGTTGAATATGTACATGATCGCCAAAACATAAGCAAAGCCACGATCACGTCATAGGGAGATAAACACCAGCTAAAGAGATCTCAGTAGTGACAGACATTTCTACCCTAATTGATCTTCAACTGGCAGCACAAAACAACAGAAACATGGGAAAACAAGGCAACAAGATGCCTCCCCAAGCCCTTAAATCACCAAAAGCTGATCTCACAGGCACTGAAGCAGTGGTTTCAGGCAAATAACTAAAAAACCAAATGATTAGAGACTTCCAGGAAAATGGCAGAATGGTAAGCAGCAGAGAAACAGCCTCTCGGATATTTAGAATTCAGACACTGGAATATAGCAACGTGAGGAAGAGAAGGACGGAGGAAGAGCATCCCCAGGACCCAGCGAGGATCTGAAGTGAGAATTAAAGCATATGGGGAGAGAAAAAAGAGGGACCACAACACACAGACGGGGGTGGCAATCGATACTTTCTCCCTGAAGCCCAGCTCACAGTGTGGGAAGGGCAGCTCAAACCTGCAGAGGCACAGGGACTACTGGCAACCACAGAGGACTCTACAGTGAAATGCACCAGTGGATGGAGCAGTGGATGCTGTGGACCCCAGTGGCTGGTGAGTTATTTAGGTTTAGATGCCCCTGCCCATCCGGGAGAGGGGAATTGCCCTGGAGCCATTTGGAAAGGGTTCACCTGAAGTCAGAACTCAGAACAGCTATAGGATGGCTTTATCTAGTGTTAAAGTGAGGTGCAGCTGAGTTCCAGCCAGCAGGAGGACAGAAAGCTGAGTCGAAGCCAGCAGGAGGCACTCAGAGTGTTGTGGGATGAAAAACTCAGGTCCCAGCCTCACAGCCAGAGACTAGAAGCAGCCTGAACTGCAGTGCAACTAAATGCTCAGGTTTAGTGGGATTGTCCACCACTGTAATTCTACTGCTAGCTTTCTGAAATCAGTCAATATGAATCTGGGTTCTGTCTGACCCCACTGTCAACGAATGACAGCTTTTCTTCCATTCTTTGCTTTAAAAAAAGGTTTTTTTCCAAAGTTTTTTCTAATTTTTCTTTTTCTTATTTTATTTTTGAGACAGTGTGCCTTGTGCAGTTCAGGCAGGCCGTGAGCTCACTATGTAGCCCAGGCTGGCCTCAAACTTGCAGTGATCCTTTTGCCTCAGCCTCCTAAGTGCTGAGATTACAAGTGCTCATGACCACACCCAGCTTTTCTCTCTTTTTCTTGTTTTTATTCCAGTGAGAACATTGTTTCTAGTTTTGTTGCCATTGTTGTTTTGTTCTGTTCTTCTTTCTGTTTCTTCCATTTTTCTTTCCTTCTTGTGTTCTTCACCAGTTCCCAAAGCTTTTGTAAACTTCCTTTGTCCTCCAGCCTTACTTCTAATTGCTTTTTCTTCTTCGATTTACCTATTTTTCTCCCCAATAGTTTTACAGTTTTCTCTCCTGAGGATAAATCACTATATTAGAGGATATTTACTGTATTGAATTTCTGGTTTGTTTTATACTTTTTAACTATAAATCTGGTTCATATGATTGAAGGTGGCCAATTAATAGTTACCATAGTTTGTCATTTTCTAGGCTATACTTGATGCTATTGTTATTACTAACTGTACTACTTCAGCCAAGGTGACACAGTTGTTCTAATCAGTTGATCTTCCTTGTATGCCAAGACTGAGATTGCACGAGAGTCATAACAAATAACATGGGCCAGTGCCAAAGAAAAAACAGGGGCTAGGTCAAATAGGCAGCAGTTTCTAATCCTTAATAAATTGAAGAGATAGTATCTTCCAACAGATTCAAAAGTCAAAAGCCAGCTACATGTAGAAGACATCTTTGCAAAATAGTCATTTCCTAAGGGTTCTTGATACTAGCAAAAAAAAGGATACCTACCATAAACAATTTACAAACATCAATGCAGGAATTAAACTTTAAAAAAAGAAGAAATGAGAAGTCATGAAAGCAAGATGCACTGCAGATTTCCAGCTTGCCATAGGCAAAACCAGCAGGCAGTGAGGTGGAACAATTCAAATGCCACCTGCCTGGACTCTCTGAAGTGGTAACAGTGGAAGAAACAAAGCAAATGAGTGAGGCTCTACAAAAATCAAACCAGAAATAATTTCTCATATAACTTCAGAGATGATGACCACAATGAAGGGCATGACTAATGAATCTACAAACGATTAAGATAAAGATAAAAAACATAGTGAAGCTTAGGAAAATGATAGAAACCATGAATGTGGTTGAATATGAATGTGAGACACAGAAAGAAATGAAATTCATGAAACATTCAATCTGATATCCAGAAGATTAAAAATTCTATTGAAATTATATGCAGCAGAATAAGTCAGTGGAGAACAGAATATCAAACCTAGAAGAAAGAACTGTGGTTAGTAATCATGAAAGGGCAGATTTCTTTTATGGTTTTTTTTTTTTTTAATTTTATTTTAGAAATTAAAGGAGGAAAATACTAACAGATCGACAACATTTTACAAAATAGCATAGGATCAGTACAGACATTACAGAGTTACAAACAGAGTGGTAGGGAATTAACAATGCTTATTGTATTACATATTGATATCTTCAATGTAGTTTCTCATGAAAACACATATAGACATACAAAGCTAATCAACCAATGCCTCACTGACAGTTTCTTTCATCAAGGAAATACAGGACAGTAGAACACCCGTGTTAACTATCCTGCATATACATATATACAAACTTTCTCCTTCTTTCCCTTCTCTTTTCCCATATTCCAGTTATCCTTTACCTATGAGTGCTTTCCTATCAGTTCCCAATGTCTATCATATCTCCTAGTTTAAATTAACTCTTTCAGGCTTTACACTAGAGAAACAATGCAGTGCTTGCACATGTATGTTTGATTTATTTCGCTTATGAGTATGGTCTCTAGTTGTGACCATTTGCCTATAAAAGCCTCGAGTTTATCTTTCTTTACAGCTGAGTAATATTCCATTATATAAAAGTACCACAATTTTCTTATCCAATCCTCAGTGGATGGACATTTGGGTTGCTTCCACATTTTAGCAATTACAAATTGTGCTGCTATGAACATGGGTGCACATACATCACTGTGATATGATGTTTTTAGATCTTCTGGGAAAATACCCAGCAGGGGGATAGCTGGGTTGAATGGGACCTCTAGGCCTAGTTTTCGGAGGAATCTCCAAACTGATTTCCACAGTGGTTTCACCAGTCTGCATTCCCACCAGCAGTGGAGAAGGGTTCTTATTTCTCCACAGCCTCGCCAGCATTTGTTATTGGTTGATTTCTTAATGCTAGCCATTCTTACTGGGGTAAGGTGGAATCTCAGTGTTGTTTTAATTTGCATTTCTTGAATGACTAATGATGTTGAACATTTTCTCATATATTTATTTGCCATTTGTATCTCCTTGTTTGAGAAGTGTGTATTCATCTCTGCTGAAGGGCAGATTTCTTAAAAATAGTAAGGAGGTGTCTGCGGGTGCTGGACTGAACCCCAGACATCTTCAGGAACCCTGGTGAGCCGCTGCTGCGCCTCCCTGACCAGCATGAAAGGCAGGTAGAGCCCTAGGCATCCTCTGGAGCCTCGGTGGCCACTTCCTGCATCCCTAGCATGTCTGCGAGTGCTGGGCTGAATCCTGGACATCTTTAGGAACCCTGGTGAACCACTCCCCTGCCTCTCCCACTAGTGTGTGAGGCACATGGAGCGCCAGACAACTTCTGGGGCCTCAGGGGGCACTCCCAGAACAACCTGCACCTCCTCTGGGAGCCCATCTGAAATCCGGACAGAGTCAGGAGCCTCGGGGAGTCCACCCTCACCCCTCCCGTGCCAGTGTGGGAAGCAGGCTCTGTCCTGGGCAATATTTGAAGCCTTGGTAACCACAACCTCCATCCCCCCTACTCTTGTGGAAGCCAGGCTAAACCCCAGACAGCTTTAGGAACTCCAGTGAGCCTCCCCCACTCCTCCCCCACATGTCTGGGAGCTAACTGAATGCAAGAAAGTTTGGGGAGCATATGGGACACCACCTTGCCACCACTCACCAGCACAGGAGGCACTGACCACTGGGGATCTTCAGACACTCGTCCTGCCACTCACACACAACCAGGAGAGTGAGGCTGCACTCCAGGGAAACTCTGGATCTTCAAAACTGACAAAATGAAGGAGCAAAGTGCAATCCCAGACTCCACACCACCCAGAACAAGTCCAAGAGACATCAACACAAAAGAGCCTGAAAGTCACACACCT